CCGGGGCCGAGCGCGTTCGGGCCCCCTCTGGGGGGCTGCCCCTTAGTGCGACCACGCTTCCGTGCTCCTCTTGGGTAGAAATCCTGTTTTTATGTCTAAAGCCGCGGTGTTTAGGCTGGTGTTTCGTCTTCAGGTGGCAGAATTTATCGATGAGCGTCCAGCCGAAGTGAAGCTCATGGAGGAATTCCGAACAAGCGCTAAATGGAAGCTTCTGGGAGGTGAGTCCAGACCTTTCCACCCTTTCTCACTGAATGTTTCCTCATCGCAAGTGGAAAATGGTAGTAGCTGAAAAAAATAACACAAATGCTTGAAATGCTGAAGAGATCCTGAGCTCACAACGGTGGCGTTTTTGGTTGTTTTTCTTTAGAGCAGAATGAAGACTCACAAAGTTCGGATGTTTCAGTACCTGCCAAATCTGCCACGAGGTAAGGGCCTCCGAGCGGGAATTTATTTTCTGATATCGCCTGTCTTGATCCGCAGTCTCTGAGCGCAGGGATTCCATTTCCGTTGTTGAGTCACCTTTCCCGCAGGGGCACAGCCTGGCAGCAGCGCGCTCTCAAGGCTTTAGCCTGGACTGCGAGACGTCCACATTGTGCCTTTGCTATAGATCTGGAATATGATGAAGAGACGGTTGATAGAATGTGGCCTTTTTCTGCAAGTTTCTGTGGTCACCCAGCGTCCAGGCTCTCCGAGAGCGGGGTGGGCCTTTCCTTGTGAGAAGGTGGTTATACAAGGGCACAAAAGGGGATTTGTTGTCTGAGGGTCGTAAGGCTCCCTAGAGCCTTAAAACTGATTTCCTGTGATCCTAGTTGCCTTAGAGTGTTTCTGGGATCTACTGTGGGAAGTCTGTGGCTCGATGATGCAGATTGCTACGAGGATGTGCAGAACCAATTACGAATTCACGTTCAGAAAGTTGTTTTCATGCTTGTCTTCTGCTGCTAGCTTTACAGACTCTACTGGGCATTTGTTTCCCATCTGGAGTCAGCAAAACGAACGGAAATCTAACTTTCCTTTTCATCTCCTCCTCCCCTCCCAGGCGCCAGTGCCGTGACTCTCCGGTCAGCTCGCCACCGAGGAGACAGCGGCATGACTCCCCAGACAAATCGCCTCTGAGGCAGCAGCAGCACGATTTCCCAGATCTGTCCCCTCCCAGACGAGAGAGAAACCATGCCGCCAACCTGTTGCCTCCCAGGCGACAGCGTCACGACTCCCCCGGCCTCTCCCCACCAAG